CTGGGGTCCTATTAAAAATGCAGATTCGGATCCAGCAGGTCTGGGATGGAGGCCCAGATTCTGCATTTCCAAAAAGCTCCCAGGAGATGCCAATGTGGTTCCAGGGATCATACTTTGAGTAGCAAGGGACCACAGGCAAGTTTTTAAAGAATGCCACGCCTGTGAGATGCTGACTATGACAGGGCAGTCACTGTGAAGGAATAAAGCATGTGATACCTTCTCCAAATCTGGCCAGAGACCCCACTCCTACAGGAACACTGTGAAAAACAGGCAAGAGACTGCTGTAGGCTGTTGGTTATTTTTAAATTTTTAGGCGGAAACGTGCAGAGATGAGAGTCACAGAAGAGAGTCTCTCAGGAGGAAAATCTGAGTGGATTTGTGTGCTGATTGAGAAGGAAGAAGCTGAAGGAAAGTGTTTGCATATCAGGAGGAGATAATTGCCTCCCATTTCGTTTTTCAGTTTTTCACAAAATTTGCAAGGAGGGTAAGTAATTAGTCCCTAGAAACTTAGAGGAAAGAAAGTTCTCAGGATGAAAAAAATGTTTTCCCAGCTAGCCTTTACTGCAGGATCAAACGTATCTGCCCACTTTTTTGGAGAGGCCCACAAATGGGAATGTGTCCCGTGGTAGTTTTTTTAAAAAAAAAAGTTTACTTGGAGACCAAGCTTCCAGGCAATAAGAGGAGACTCGGGCCTCCAGGCCACACACCCTGTAGGGGGATGCTTGCCCCTCCCACCACCTCCTTTCTTCACAGGCTTGGGTCTGTGGGGTGGTCCCCACACTGTGACTGTCCCCACTGCAAACGAGGACCAGGGCCTCTCTAGACACCTTGTAGGCGGAGCTAGGTCCCGATGTCAGAGGAAGTTTTGCACGTATTCTTTGTCCTGTTTTGCTAATCCCAGCCCAGTCCACATTCAATCTGGTATAAGAAATCAGCCACCAGAGCTATTCCCACTCACACCCTCCTTCCATGACTTCCTAAACCATTCCCAGATCTCCAAGGAATGCCTCCGCTCATCCACCCACAGCCCATTACCCACAGTACCCATCCTGTTCCACTTCCTCCTCACCAGCCTTCTATTGCCTCTGCCTTACCCCACAGGGCTGCTGGCAACCTCCTGACCAGGTGGCTTCCCGGAAACCCAACCTCAGAGGGCCCTCCCTCTGGGCCACGCATCTAAGGTTCTGTGGGAGAAGCCAAGTGCTAGCCCTTGAGAAGACGATGGTAGCAAGTTTGGGGTCAATGATCCAGCTCTCCCCTCTTCCCTGAGTGCATAGGAAGGATTGAAAAAAAAGAAAGAAAAAAAAGAATAAATCGCATGCCCTTCTTTCTAGGCATGGGGCCCTCATGACCTTGCTGTATATGGGGATTGAGAAAGTGGCCCCCAGAGAGTCATTTCTCTTTAAAGGTAAGAAGTCTGGGGCCAGGAGGGCGTAGTGGGCAGCCTGGGTGTGAATGCTGCCTCTACTCCAGGAGCAATCCCACATGGGGGTCCCAACAAAAGGCACTTTGTTATTTCTGTTTGGAGGATGCCAGGCCTCTCTGCTCTTCTCCAAGAATCTCCCACTTTCAGAATCCCATCCTAGACTCTGAAGCCAGTTCCTAGGAAAAGAACACCCCCCCACCACCAAAAATCTGCACACAAAGAAACATAAAGGAATGTGAACAAAACCGTAGAGCAGGACCAGGGAGGGGAGATTTTAATAGCACATTTCATAATCATAGCTACATTTACTGAGTTCTTAGTACACACAAGACCCTGTGCTAAGAGCTTCATTTGGATTATCTTTTTTTTTTTTTTGCGGTATGTGGGCCTCTCACTGTTGTGGCCTCTCCCGCTGCGGAGCACAGGCTCTGGACGCGCAGGCTCAGCGGCCATGGCTCACGGGCCCAGCCGCTCCACGGCATGTGGGATCTTCCCGGACCGGGGCACGAACCCGTGTCCCCTGCATCGGCAGGCGGACTCTCAACCACTGCGCCACCAGGGAAGCCCGAATCACACATTTTTGAAATAGCTTACACCCCTGACTGTAGAGACACTCTACTCTTAATTGTCCGATAACTCTTGAGGTATTTTTTGGCTGGCTCCTTCTCTAGCTCCTTGTCTTTCCACTGTTTTCTAAATACGAATGTCCCCGCATCTCTCTTCTCATCCTTCTTTTCTCTCTCTAGTCTCTCCTTCAGAAAACTCACCTTCTCCCTTAACGAGAGCAATCTTGAAAATGTAAAAGAGACTCTGCCTTTTTGTTCTCAGCCCACATCTCACACTACCACATACACAACATGTGTAAAAAGTACACACATAACCCTCTCCTCCCCCAAAGTCAATATCCTGTTCATGGCCTCCCAAACCCCCAGTTATCCAGGCTTGAAACCTGGGAGGTATTTCTTTTTTTGTTGTTGTTTTGTTTTGTTTTTCTAAATTTATTTATTTTATTTATTTTTGGCTGTGTTGGGTCTTCGTTGCTGTGCACGGGCTTTCTCTAGTTGTGGCGAGCGGGGGCTACTCTTCGTTGCAGTACGCGAGCTTCTCACTGCAGTGGCTTCTCTTGTTGTAGAGCACAGGCTCTAGGCACACAGGCTCAGTAGTTGTGGCGCACGGGCTTAGTGCTCCGCAGCATGTGGGATCTTCCTGGGCCAGGAGTTGAACCCGTGTTCCCTGTATTGGCAGATGAATTCTTAACCACTGTGCCACCAGGGAAGTCCCTGGGAGGCATTTCTGAGTTCTCCTTCTTTCTTCTAAACCACTTGGAATTGTTATCCTTAGAAATACATTTTTTCTCATCCTGTCCCCTTTCTTTTTTCATAGCCACCAACTAGGTTCAAGGATTCACTTCCTCTTAATCATCATAACAGCATTCTTAATGGCTTTCTTATTTGTACATTTCTGTATATGTATTTGTACATTTCTGTATTGGATCCAACCTATCCATATACTGCTGTTATATTTATTTTTCTAAAGTATTATGTCCATAGGCTGTTTTTTTTTAATAATCTGAGGCAATGTTATTCCATTTATACATTACTTTCAACGTCATCTACCTTCATACAGAAAAAGACTACAAGGACACATTTTAAAATATTAACAATGAGAGGATATGGGGATATATGTATATGTATAGCTGATTCACTTTGTTATACAGCAGAAACTAACATAACATTGTAAAGCAATTATACTCCAAAAAAGATGTTAAAACAAAAAAAATATTAACAATGGCTATCTCTAGGTGTGGATTATAGGCATTTAAATGTTTTCATATGTATATATATCTTGTGTTTCAAATTCTTTTTATTTGAACACATGTTATTTCAGTATCAGAAAAAAAAATGTTTTTAAACAACATCTATTCCCTCCCTTGTCTATAAATCAAGCACAAACTCTCCCTGGCAATCCCAGCTTTCTACAGCTCTACCCATCTACCCCTCCAGCCTAACATTCACCTCCTTCTTACTGCATGATTTGTGCTTCCACCAAGCTGGACCACTCGCTATTCTCCAAATATTAAGTCCACCCTCTGCTTGCACACCCTTTCCTTACTCTTCCCTATGCTCAGAATACCCTGTCCTGCCATCTCTGCCTGGAAGATTCTTACCCACACTTCAAACGTCTCTCCTTTATGAAGCTTCACCCTCTACCCAGATGTGAACTTGTCCTGCCGGGAGTTCTCAATGAGGGAAGTTAGCATGTTCCGCCTTGCATGATAATTTTTCTTGTGCCCGTCTCATCCCAAACAGTAGATTCCTCATTTCTCAGTGGCAGGCCTCTCTTTTCATCTTTATAGCCCTCACAACACCCTGCTGCAACGTGTCTTACAAAGTGTAAGGACTTCATAAATTTTGGTTAAACAAATGCATGCGTACATCTGTTGGGTTTTCATTCCTAGTCCTGAGAAGAAAAGTCTTGCCAAATGGAAACTCACGTTTTCTTTCATGATTATTTGAATGTGTGCATTACAGACTTTAATAGCTGGTAAGGGGGCAAGCATGGCCTGACAATTTCTTATCAGAAAGATACGATGAGACCAGATGTGTTTCAGAATCCAATCCCAGAAGGGTCTGGGTACACCCTGTAATCAAATACGCTACTATTTCTGCAGCAAAATACACGAATATGCACACACTAAATGGAATAAAGGCAGCAAATGGCCTCAAGTAAGTTCAGATCAGGTTTCACTACCTAGTTAGTTTGACCCAAAATTAGAAAAGAACTTTCAGTTGTCAAAGCATTTTTGATTACAGCATTGTAGATCAGGGGCTGTGAATGGTTAGACCTCATTCACTGAGTGCCCACCACATACTGGTTCCTACACCGCAAAACGACTGTGAAGGTTGCCATCTCCATATCACAGGTGATAAAAACCAAGACTCAAGATGTTTAAGGATCTCCACCCCAAGTCATATAGTTAATAAATGTACAGCTGGGATTTGAACCCAGAGTCTTCTAACTCCAATACCTACTCATTTACAGTCATTAAAAAAAATGCCAAACGTGAAATCTTCCCCATTTTCAAACAGTGCCATACCGATCTCTGAACACAGGATTCAAAGTCTATTGCTTAGGTCTGCAAACGGGGAGAGTATTTAATAAATGGTAAATAAAGGAATGTACTAAAGAATAAATTCCCATGATCGGCTGTTGACCATCAGTGATGAGTAAGAGACAGTGATGGGGAGGAAACAGGGAGGGTGTCCCTTTCCTCAAAGAAAGGATCTAACTTGGGTCTCAGCCATTACTGTGGAACCAGTCAGAGGTCCAGCCCTGAGTGCTCTGTCACTCACGGGGAATCCACGACCGTCAGGCTTTCAGGGGGCTGCTGGCCCTCCACTTACCACTTCTCCAATTGTGATCTCACCCTACCCGGCCCCACACTGATGTGTGTCACATCCTGTGGGTGCTACAGATGCATGAGCAATAATGAGGAATTCAACGCATGGGCCCATTTTATGTTTCATTCACCATCACTGCAGTGATGGTGAATGAAAAGCAGTATCTTTCTTACCCGATAGGTTTCCATGACATCGCATCCGGAGGTTCAACGTTCTAAAACATCTGAAGTCCTGAAATCAGAGGTGAAAGAGTTAATTCAGGGATGACCCTGGAGCCAGGAATACTGCATTCTTTGCAGCAGGCTTCACTCCACCTCACACTAGCCAGCATCCTTTTCAAACTGACCTCCTATTTATCCCCTCACCCCAATCCATCTTGTCTTCCTCCTGCCAACCTCTCTCCTGTCTTCTGGACTTTTCACCCTTAGACTTTCCTCTCCCTGTTTACGGTCTCACATCCCCTCTCAGCGTTGATGACTGGTGCCCCCTCTTTGTTCACGATGCGTGCCTGTCCCTTCATGTTCATTCAAGACTCTGAGCCACGGCGCCCCAGACTCCAACTCAGCAAACCGGAGCCAACAGTTCAGGACAAGCCCCCTGGAGTACGTTTTAGGACCCACTGTACTTGTTGAGTAATTTTTTTTTTTTTAACATTCAGGCAATGCTTTATTTAAATCACCAAAAATAAGGTTTTATAGGAAAGGAACTGTAACAAGCACATGTACAGCTGCAAATTTTCTTTTGCCATCAATATCAACTCCCTCTAAAATATTCTGGGACTACTTTCCAGTTTCCAAGCACAACTAATGTTTTATTGCTCAGCCTCATCACAAGAATGAAAACGGTTTGCAAAACAATTCTGTTTAATGCTAACGAATAACTAAAAAATGTGGTTCTGCTTTATAACAAAGTGAATCAACTATACATATACATATATCCCCATATCTCCTCCCTCTTGTGTCTCCCTCCACCCTCCCTACCCCACCCCTCCAGGTGGTCACAAAGCACCGAGCTGATCTCCCTGTGCTATGCGGCTGCTTCCCACTAGCTATCTACCTTACGTTTGGTAGTGTATATATGTCCATGCCACTCTCTCGCTTCATCCCAGCTTACCCTTCCCCCTCCCCCCAAATCATTAATAAGCAATTTTGTAGCACATTTTACTTGTATCTAGAAGCTGTGAGTGATCCATCTGAGGCTAAAGAAATGGTGGTAGAGAGAGAATGAGGTGAGGTGGAGAAATTGGGAGAGTGGGGAATGTTTAAAGAAACTGGGTTTAGAAAGTCATCACAAGGAACACAAGAAGAGCTGAATAAAGTGGAGGTACTGCGATAATCATCCCACAAGAAAAATATCAAAGATAGAACAAGGGAATAGATGAAGAAATACTACCAAAGAGATTCTGCTTTATGCTAAGGCAAGACATTTGGCAAATCAAATGTAAGTAACTGTTCTGAGTGCCCAGATTCTGAAGAGATGCTGCTCAAAAATCCAACGAAAAGTCTGAGGGCAAAGCTCATGGATGGATTTGCAGCTCCAGCAGGAAAAATGTACTTTTCTCACAGATTTGGCAGGAGGAGGAGGAGGCTAGAAAAAAGAGAGTGAAAGCAAGAGAGAGAAATAGCATCAACAGGTAAACAAGCTCTTCCTGAGCGTGAGAGTGAGTGATTTCCTGACTTAAAAAAAATGACCCCAAACCATGCTAAAGGGAGAATGAAATCAGGGAGTCCACCAGTGACTGTCTGTCTCTTCAAGCTCACACTTAGTGGAGGTGAGGCACCTGTAAGTAATCTCAACTGTATGTAATCTCTGCTTACATTTTCCTTAAGCTGTTTTGCCTGCGAGCAGATTCTGAGTTTGTTGCACTTCCTGGGGGTTGGTGGATGGTTAGATAAACCGTAAATAAGAGAAACGGAGAAAGTCAGGAATTACAGGACATTTGTTTTAGAAAAAGAATATCACCCTCTGATGTCATCCCCCTTCCTATTGTATAGGCAATAGAAAAATGTCCCAAAGCTGATGGGGTGAAAAATCTGCCTGGAAGAGAATCTTGAATTTGGGCCCGCTCAAGGAGAGTTTGGTCACTTTCTGGCCTCCTTGGAGGGGAATACTTGGTAGGTGGGTGAATGTGAAACCAAAGGGTAGTTATCAGATCTATTAAACTGTAACTTGCTTAATAAATAATGAGCTGGAACCTGCCTTCACTGATCAAGCTCGCTTTAACTGCTGCTACAAAAAGCCTTGCATGTCCTTCAAGCATCACGTAGCCTAAACAATAAGCTGTTTGTCCAAGTTGTTTTCCAGGAACTTGGAGTCAGCTGCGTCCAGTTCAAGTTTGGCCGGTTGAAGCTAGCTGGAACCACTGACCCTCCAACTGGGCATGCGTGGGTGCCTGTCTCGGTGACCTTTTGACTTTAGAGGGCCAACAATCCCACACTCAGAACACGCTAATGCCACCATTTTCTAAACATGCACCCCGTGAAGAATCCTGTAGCTTAGCTGCACCTGCACAGAACGACCATTATGAAACTGAGTCCTATGACTAGTTTATAAGTAAAGCTAATGCCTGGATTTATACTCTTGTTCCGTTGTTCCTCTTTTGTTCCCTTTTGTCCTAGCCTGTGCCTGTTTGATCACGTTTGCCTAATCGTAAGGAGTAACGAATGTCAGGTGTCTTGAGACACAGCTTTCTGATACGCATCCCTGTTTATGTGCTGTTCTGAGTTATCTTTCAGAGTCAGGTGACCTTCACAGATTAAGTAGGGTCAGACCTCAGGTCATGGACCAGGAGACCGAAACCACGTAACAGATGTAGAAATAGCACAAGAAGGTGATTTATCACTAGCTTTTTTGTTCTTCCCCTTTAAAACCCCGGACGCAAAGACCAAAATGGAGTGGATCTGAGCCTCCCACTCCCTCACTTGGCGCCCTGCAATAAAATCCTTACTTTGCTGCAAACTCCTGCTGTCAAGACTGCAGCTCTCTGTGCCACGGGCATGTGAGCCCTTCGCTCGGTTTCCATTATCTCAAATTTTTCTTATTTCTAATCACTCTTCCCCACATTCTCCATGCCTCAGCTCTAGCCCATAAATATCATGAGCCCCTCACCTTCGGGGAGGAAGATTTGAGATTGGTTCTCCTGTCTTCTCACTTGGCTACCTCGTGAATAAACCCTTTCTCTGCTGCAAACCTCGGTGTCTCAGCATTTGACTTGCTGCACATCGAGCAAATGAAACTCGTCCAGTAACAAGTGTATGGTTGAGAATTCCCTTAGGAATTTGGGGGGCTTGGGGGATGGTGGAGATGGGCCCATAAGTGGATACAATATCTATGCTCTGTCTCTCGAGACTTATGACTCTCACTCTGTGTGGACTTAGAATCTAAAGAAATAAGTGGAAGCAATGATCTCCTCTGAGATGGAACACACGCTTCTTTTAACTTTTTATTTTCTATTGGAGTGTAGCCGATTAACAATGTTGTGATAGTTTCAGGGGCACAGCAAAGCGACTCAGCCATACGTATACATGTATACGTTCTCCCCCAGACCCCCCTCCCATCCAGGCTGCCACATAACATTGAGCATAGTTCCCTGCGCTATACAGTACGTCCTTGTTTGTTATCCTTTTTAAATATAGCAGTGATTTTTTTTTTAACTTAGGAATTTCCCACTTCCTTACCTTGCCTTTCACCCCTTACAGTCCTCAGGCATTCTTTCTCATGCTCACATCACAACAGGTCTTCTTTTGTCCCAATTTCCGAGCTCGGATAGCGCTCCTTTTCTCTACCTCCTTTCTATGTGCCCAAACTACCCAAGTCAAGACCAAGATGCGTAAGAGTAATGGTAGTTATGATGTCTAACAAGAGAAAAGAAAAACAGTTTCTTTTAGAAATAATTTGTGCTTTTTTCTTCTGATTACCAAAAGATAGAAATAAAAATTGCCTGTTATCCATCTACCCAAAGAAAATGAGAGTCACCATTTTGGAAAGTCATAGCTTTTGAACCAAATTCAAAATGCCAGGTCTGAGAAATCATCCCACAGCCCCTTGCACATGCATAGAAGACCTCTTCAGAGAACCAGGAAATTTCCCATCTCTGTCCTCATTCTCTGTTTATTAATCTATTTTTTCCAACTTTCAACATAGCACACTCTTTTTTCTAGGTTCAATTTATTGTTCTTCAGTTTTGCTTAATTACAAGTGTTGTATTAAAAAACAGAATATGTTTTCAGTTCAGTTTTAAGTTTATTTAGACCTAAGACTTTTTTTGGAAACTTCACCCCATTCTTCTCTGGGGAGGTGTGGTATAAATTAAAGAAGAAACGTACACACCTTTTTAGCAAATTTTTTCCTTTCATGAAATTTGGAATGCCTGTTTATTATTCCTCATTCTAATTTATTTCGTATTCTTTTGACAGTTCACCTAGCCAGATCGAGAACCATTTTTGGTTGGACTAGGAAAGCAACTCAGAAGATGTTACAGTAAAGAAGTGGCGTTGAAACTCTGCCACAGCTACTACAGATTATAGACTAAATTTCTTATCAACTTCCTCATCTTTCTTGCTGCTATCTCTAAATAAAATGATGCATCTGTAGGGGCCATACCCCCAAGCTTCAGCCTGCCTCACAAAACCCTGTAGTCCCTCTATCTTTCAGGTGCCTGGTTAGAAATAATGAATTGTGGAGTTAGAGAATGGTGGAATAGGACACAATCTGAATGGTCCAGCTAATTGACAGAATTATAATTTATAGACTTGACCTGTAACTTAAATACCCAGAGTTCTGAGTTCTTAATGACAACAATAAAAGCAAGTCATTGGAGTGGAGTTCAGGAAGAAGTCAACGGGGTTGAGAAGATCACTAGAGGCCAAGGTGTTGAATGGATTATCCACAAACATACTCATTACCTGGAATGATGGCATAACAGGGGGTGAGAAAGATAATTCCCAGCCAGATGCCAAAGTCTTCGCTGATGTCTGGGAGATCAACAGGTTACAGGGAGGAGTGATAAAGGGGAATATAATAAATGGAATTAGCCCCAAAGTAGCAGAGATAATCAAGTTGAAAAGACTAAACTCAGACATCATCTTTTCCAAGAAGAATGCACCGACTCCACCTCCACTTATTGTACTAAATGAATCTTTGAATGTCTGCATGGCACTCTGTGAAAATTTCTACTGTATTATATGCCAAGTGGTGTCCATTAGGTTACATCTCTCTTAGATTATGATCTT